TGTAGGCAGCGCCGGCAGTAATGCAAGGAGGAAGCAAGATATGATTCGATGAACATGACCAAAAGATATACAACAAACAGGACCGGTAGCTCAGGGGTAGAGCGTTCGGCTGCAGTCCGAACGGTCACGCGTTCAAATCGCGTTCAGTCCTCAATTTTTTTGAAATTTTTTTTTTGAATTTTTTTTTGTGTATTCTTTGTTCCTCCGTGGTAAAGCTTTGCCTTTTTATCGAGCACTCATTCACGGAAAGTGTAACTTGCAGATATCAGAGATGCCAAACTGAAGGGAGTGATGCAGTGGGGAGTGAAAAGGAAGGGAGTGATTGATGGGTGATTGCGGTGGAGGACATTGTTCGACATTGGTGATGGGGACTACAGAGTTTGTTCGGAAGGAGATAATGAGACTGGCTGGGTGTTAATGTCATGGTAGAAATGGCAGGTGTGTGTCCTGGTTCTTTGTCCACTTCACGATCATTCCAGGCACCTGCAGGAGGTATCGAAGGCCCATGGAGTTTCTGAGTTTACACAAGCTAAGGTATCTAGAGGTAGGCAAGACGTAGAATCAGCTGGGAAAGAGCCGTCAAGGTGCGGATGTCTGTCTGTCTGGTGTAGCTGCGCAACTATGGAAGGAAGGGAGGAAGGAAGGGAGGAAGGAAGGAAGGAAGGGAAGAAGGAAGGAGGAAAGAAAGAAAGATAGAGCGCTAGCAGCTTCTGGGTAGTTCCTTCCTGTGCTGGGGCTGGGTTTGAATGGCGGGCGTGATTTCCCTTCCTTTTCTTCCTTCCTTATTGACTTCAGTTTGGGAACATGGCAGTGTTATGCTGCTCTCATCTCTGCATCTCGTAGCCCCACTGATGTTAACAGATCTGATGCTGAAGCATACAATTCGAAAGCACCAAGAGCACACCTTGGTGAACATCCTAAAGAGGGCAAGGAAGGACTCGTCTGATAAGCTTGTTATTGGTTTACATGGTAAGTGAGAGGAATAGCACACTTGACGAACATCCCCTCAGGTTTTCCCTGGTCAAACTGGTGAAGCTGATGAGGTGGACTGTACTTGGGAAAGAAGAATCACTTCAAAAGTTCAGCGTAAGGATATATATGACTGGGCAATGTCCATGTAATTGGGGTTGACACCGAGGGCCCAAGGCCGCAAGGGCCTGCAGGCGTATAGTCAACACATCTACGAACATCACGCTATGACAGGATGATCCCTTGCTCTCAACTGATTGTTCACTAGTGTATCGACCAAAGGAGGTTAAAGGGGTGGCTCGCTCCTCCGAGTCCAGCCCAGATGCCTACCTCTAGGCAGGGAAGACCGACGGCTCAGTGTCAGTGATGAAGATCGTGTTAAGTTCCCATCCCGGTGTTTGGTGTGATGGCACGTTATGGAGCGTTCAGTCCTAACATGCCTGAGCCACAGTCTACCCATATTTGGGAATAAGAACTCGAGCATCGCTGACGGTTGTTCCTATGTGGAGCTTGTTTAGACACATTCATCTCTTTGAGGGAACTATCATGCTAAAGTTGTGAATCAGAACAACTGCAGCCACTTGGGACTCCGTCATGGCTTGCTTCTCCACTGTCCCAGTATCTTTACATGAATGGTAAAGACATATTTACAGAAACACCTCTCGTCACGGCAGTGACCTTGATTTTAGGAATTCGTCCAAGGCGGCGAAAGCAGTCAAACACGTTGGTTACGTTAGGAACAAGCTGTGGTTTAAAGGAACTCTGGGATATTTCAGGTAATTCCCTTTCCGAGTTCATCAATAAGCGGACATTGAACTCTCCATACTGTCTAAAGACACTCCGATTCTTTCATCATATATCTACACTTCCTACTGCTTTGGTCCACATTACAAGGTCATACAACTCAGTCACATCGATCCATGTTTTCTGTTCTTTTTCTTTTCTTTCTTTTCTCTCACATTTCCACCATTGGGAATCAGGTCGAACAGCCTGGAGGGACGGAGTGAGGGAGGGGAGAGGTCTCTTCCGTTATCTTTCCCTTCCAACAATCCGTCGGAAAGTAAACAATGGTTGTGCGCGGGAGCGACTTACCGAAAGAAGACACAAGAGTCAACATAGCCTCGGCTGCAGCAACTTTACCGCGTTGCAGATATCTTAATAACGAATGGCTTTTAATAGCCCTATTGGGACTTAACACCGGGCCTGCTCGGGAGGGAACCGTTAACGAACGATCGATTGAACTCGTCGACTGAGAACCAAGCGTTAATACCTACTTGGGCTAGGCTAACGCAAATATTCACTCGTGGTATAGAGGACTGTAGTTTCTTCTTCGTGCTTTGGTACAGTTGTTCACTCAGAATTCTCACGGGCTAGCTTTCTATCTCTTGAGTCCTCAACAGAACTATTCCGTTCCATGTCGGACGGAATCTCAACCTATCACATACGCAGTAACACAGCACGAAAGCCACAGCCAACGAACGCCTCCTCTTCTCCGACTCCAACCGGTCAGTAGCAACAGCAGCAACAACAAGCTATGTAGTACGTTCAGTACACAAGTAACGTCACCAAAGCAATCACGCCGCAGGGCTACAAATGAAGCACAAGAAATAGGTAGCACGAAAAGGGACCCGACCTGAGGCAAGGCCAAGCAGAGGTACATACCTACCATGAAGCTTGTAGACGTGCTTGTTCTCCCTCCCTGATCTCTCCTACATACTCGCAGCTACAGCTAGCTCCCATTCAGACTTGCAGCATCACGCTCCACACAGAAGTGCTCGTGTAGTGTAACTTCCCCATTCCACAAAACATGGCATGATGGACACTCAGCCGCACATCTGTCCTCCGACACTCCCCACTCCTGACTCCCGACTCCGGTCACATGTATCTATCTACGCGACCTTTTTGTGATGTTCGCTTGATACGTAGGGGGGCTGTCGGCTCCGGCTCGGCAGAGTAGATAACGCCGATGCCGATGCCGACGCCGAAAGCTGGATACATAGCCTTTCCGCTTGAAAGCGGATGGGATGGGATGGGATGGGATGGGATGGGATGGGATGGACGAATCCTGAGCGAAGAAGGGAAGAAAACTAAGCAAAATGGGGGCGACTGCAAGCTTAGTGGTGTGACGAGGAGTGCATGTGTGTAGCGTTGTTTTTGGAATTTTGGGGTTGGGTGTAGATGTATGTGTGATGTGCCTGGTTGCTATTCTGCTATTTCTGCCTGGCGAATCGTGAATTTGAAGCTGATACATATGTGGGTTGATTTGTGGAGGGAAATGGGAGGGAGGTGAAGGCGGGAGGGAAGGAGGACTCCAGAGGAAAAGTCTCTGTCGGCGATGGGGAAAACCACATGAAGGAGGAGGGAAGTAAACGTAAAACGGTAAACCCTCGGCTTTCCATGTCACTGAGGAATGGTTATCGTTCATATGGTCGTTAACGGCCACAAACTTGGTCAGTTTAACTTTGTGTGTGAAAACATATCGTCTTGAATCCCGACATGGAGATAAATAGTTCCGGGACTAATAAACTTGGATCATCCTTGAACAACACATCGAAACTACAAATACCCCATTGCTTGCTACTAGTCAGTCATCGTCAGGTTTTCTGGGGGGCAGATAGGTGGTGCGCCTGTCAGCACTAGAGGTCGAAGATGGGGGGAGGGAGGGAGAGTCGTTTTGTCAGCCCTACGAAGAGCGGAGAGATAGGGTTCTGACCCCATTCTGACCCCAACAAACGTCCGCCCTCGTCCCGGTGGGTTGGGTCGTCCTGCTTCCTGCCTGCCCCCTTTGTCTGTTCGATCTGATCTGCTGATGTGATATGTAGATGCCATGTTTTGGTGTACCAATGCTGTGGTAACCGATCTGATTCACGGGGAATCAGTCAGGGTCAGGGGCAATGGCTTGCTTTTTGCTTACTCCGCTTTCCCGAGGAAATGGATGCATGTGTGAGATAGTTCTATGTAGTAGTCTTGAGTAAACAGGTCTTGAGGCTATCATCAAACGTCAGTCTAGCTTGCTCATGCCTAGCCGTGGTGGACACCATAGTGATGGCTGTGGCAGTGGCAGTGGTGTTGGTTTCGTTTACTTGCGAATGAACCATCCACCTGTACGTGGCTATCAGACCATCTGGTCTGGCTGTCTACCTATGATTGCACAGGTCGAACAGTCCGACAAGCCTCCGACAACTTTCGCTTTGAAAGGCGACAACGACATAACCCCAAGCGGATATACCTAAGTGCTTGATCATGGTTGGTGGTCAACCGTCACGTCGGCCGACTGAGAGACACGGGGGCATGGCACAGCCACCCCGCCCTTTCGGTTGTCTTTGACGCGTGTACAACAGAGAAAGTTGTGACTGATGATGGCTTTCGAGTGCCACAAGACGTCGGGCGGGCATCATGCAGCAAGGAACATGGTAATTGAGAAGTGCGAGGGATCCACGCCTCAAGCTCGCTCTATGCTTGCTCCTTGAAGCGGGTTAAAGTCCGATAACCTGGAAGTTGAGCACGTTTGACCGTATCCTACCGTAACAGGACCTGTAGAGTTGCTCTCTGAGAAGGGAGCTAGCTGTTCCATTTGCTCGGCACCAGAACGGTGATGTCTCATTCAGAAGAGAGGCTATGGATAGTAGCTTCCGCTTGAAAGCTTGAAAGAGCTTGCGATTGCAAACCAGGAAGTTGATTACACATGCCTTGGCTACCTTTGCTTTGAAGCATGCTGTGGTGAAGATGGCGCTATTCCAAGATGGCGCTATTCCAAGCGTATGGGATAAATTAACACCTGATATCCGGTCCTGGATGTCCACCATTAAAAATGGGAGGAGATCGAGGACCAAGCGACCAGAGATGGCGTGCTGTTGTTGAGCTGGTGCTTTGCTGGTGATCATGAACTTTTGCATGTGGAGATGGGAGTCTCTGGATGGAGTCTCCAGAAGGGGAACCGCAGTTGATGCCAAGAAGAGGTTAAAATCCGTGGATGCAGATGCAACCATGTGCAGGAATGTGAAGAGACTGCTGGGCCCCGAGTCATCCAATCACATCTCCATGTCGAGGGACCCCTTGCCCCTCCGCTCTTTCTTGCTGGCGGTGGCCCCTGCACCACCGCGAACTGGCGGAGTGGGGCACTTTGGGGTTTTTGGGTTCAGTGTGCCGTGTCCCCACCCTGCACCACCACGGTAGCACCTGCACCATCAACCATCACACAGTCACAGCAAAAATACGACTGTAACGACAAAAACACCCGAGATTCAGGTTGGCGGACATCCAGCTCGTCGAGATACGGTTATCACCGGTGCGCCGGTTTCTCAACACATGCTTCCGGTTGTCTACATGGTAACGGTACATCAATCTGCAACCAATCATTAGCCGGAAACCGAGAACCTTGCATATACATTTCCCGAGTCCGATCAGTATCTTTCTCTGTAATTACAATACACACTCACAACGAGGTACCAAGCGAGCCTGTCTTCCGCCTGTGTCACCATCTCTCAAAGAAATTGCCGAGCAACCAAAGAACCTCTCTGTTTGTTGTTCCACAAGACTTCCACAAGACTTCCCCTCTCTCTCTTCGCATTCGTCAGCTTGCCCGCGCACCCTCTAGTTGGGTGTTCTTCTTTACCCGCCCATGGTTACCCAAAGGCAATAAAGTCTTTGGACAGCCAATGCCTTTAGCGCATGGTGCGATGGTGCAATCGCTTCATGGTGGGACAAAGTGGCTATCTCGCTATTGTCGTCTTCCTTTGCCATGTATTGACGCCGTTGCCGTTTTTGGAGGTATACGTACACATACATCATACCAGACGGATACTGCAACTGTAGGCGCAATGTTTCTTGTTCTTGATTGCTAACACAACCACCTACCCTTTCCGATGATGCCGACTGACACCATATCATCGTTCCGTTTCGAGAGTTTCAAGATAGCAGCCGTACGCGCGTCAATCACTCCGCCGGCCGCCAGAAAACAAAAAAAAAAAGGTGTCGCCTTCAAATATTGGAGTTGAGGGGAAGAACCGAGCATAACGGAGCAATTCATCGTTCCGCGGGCGGCCGGGTGGACGGGATGAGCGGCTGGCGAGAAGACTCACTCATGCACAGAGCAGACATCATCAGCCCTACGCAGGATGGACGCAGGTCGCCAAAAACCCGACCTACCTTGGCACCTTGGCAGCAACCCCCGGGCCGCACGGCGTGCGCACGCCCTGCCCTGCCCTGACCTGAACGTTCGCTGCGAGCCTGCGCAACGGCGGCGGCCATCAAAACTCCCACCGTGCTTGTCTTTAGCTTGCAGATGGTCATCGACGTCGCGGCCAAGGATTGCTGGAGCATAGTGTCACAGTGTTAAGAAGCCTGTATGCAAGCTTCGTCGTGCACTTTCGAACCTCAAAGTCGTATTTCGGCAAGTAAAACTTGTGGAATTTCGATCTTGAATATCTCCATGAACTATCATGAAGTCATGGGTGGCTAGAGAGGTTGATCATCGAACTCTAGCGGACAATATCATATACAACCCCGACTTTCACCTCCATAACCCCCGTCATGAGCAACGCGCGGCCGTCCCGATGTTTCGCCAATGCTACCCATGATAGATGCTCTTGAGCATTGCACTGATTGATAATGTTCTCTGCTTCACCGCTCATACGGAACTGAAGGGTCAGTCAATACCTACCTATCTGGTATCGCACATCAAAAAATCCCGGCGTCACTTTTCCCTCGTGCGTTGCGTGGGACAGTAGACAGCAGGTTGGCCCGCTAATAAAAATCCCATGACTTAAATTGACCGAACAGTTACGATACTCGATGGCGTGCTGGCGTAGCAGCGTAGTCTAATAGGAACTTTTGGCGAAATGGCGGAAGCCTCACAGAGCACGGCAAGCACAGTCATCCATCCGGTCGCTCGGTCGGTCGGTGGATTGGACGCCCCGGTACTTACAATGTAGAAGAAACACACGGGTGAAAAATACCCCGAGTGTGAACAGGCGGAGGGAGTCCGAGCCGACAAATGCTTTTCAAGCAGGTCTGTAAAATCCGAACGTCAACGGCGCAAGGTACTCATCATGATTCAGATAAGGAAAGTGCGCAGTTACAGCCCCATACCATAGCCTGCTATCGGGCTGGCTGCTGTTGGTGTTGCAAGAAAATTTGGAATAGAAAGTTGGGGAACCCTGGACCTCCCTCGAAATCTGGTGTGTGTGTCCCCTTGTGGAGAGTTGGAGAGGATGGAGAGTTGGAGACGGGGTGGGACGAGGAGGGGAAAGGAACGAACGAACGTTACGAAAGAAAACGCGGCGTACCCGCCCACTGCCCAGCCCTATGGGCGTGTCAGTGCGTTCTTGCGTCCTGTTCTTGTCACGGTCGTTACCTGACCTGACGCAGGGCAGTACGGTACGCTTGGGAGCAAGGTACCCGACAGTACAGTGGCTGACATTTGCAACATCGTAGCAGATACTTCTGTTACTTTGAACCGGCTGTACAGTTGAAGGAGGGGACGGTGTCTATGGTCACACCGCGGGGTGTCGGAAAATGACCTCCTCTGGTCCCTCCGATATCATCAACTTCATGTTATATCCGAAGAGTTTCGGAAGACAACGAAGTTGCAGTGGTATCAATCAATCCCAAACCCCGTATCGTATCTCTTGAGGAACGAATGCGACTGCGACTTTGTGCCCTTGTTAGCGGTGCTGTGCTAGCGGTGGTAGCGGTGGTAAAAAAGGTCCCGGTTGAAGAGGAGACTCCGACGAGGTATTCCTTTGGTGACACAAAAAACGGAGGGGAAGAACCGTTGCGAGCTTCAATTTGTTCGTTGTTCATCCCAGCTTTGGTGTCGCACCCTGGGCTACCCTGGTCTGAGAGACCAGCTGCGTGTTAGTGATTGATGGTGATTGGTTCAAGTATGAGATGAACTGCTAAATTTGGGTAATTAGCCCAAAATATCCGCCGACAGGCGACAACAGCACACCTTTTTCTGTGACTGTCACACACAACCATCATAACCAACTGCTTTCTCAAACTGATTGGTGTCCCAGTCTTTGAGGAATGGCATTTCAAGCGCCCTTTCCTGCTGTATGTAGGTGAGTTCGATGCCTGCTGTTTCTATCTTGAGTATGCCCTTCTTATCTTCGTTTCCCAAAACGAGTTCCAGTGTGTTGCTATACCACCGGTGGACGGGAATTGCTTTCTTCAGAAGCTTCTATTCCCCGGCCTTCAAACGTTCCTAGGTACATACGCAGGACGCACCAACGGCTCGGATATTGATATTCTGGAACCGTATATATAGTAGGCTACCATTTCTGCAACCCACAACCTGCTTCATTTGTTCCCAACACCAAGGTCTTGGTCCCGCCGGCGAGGTCCGGTTGCACAGGGGGCAAGTTGTATAGGTCCGGTATGGTGGTTCAATTGGTTCTGGTTCAGTACCCATCTCCATGTGCCGATACGAAAACAGAGAGCGAATGAAGCCAACGATATTTTTGTCCAGGCGATTGGTAAGAGGCGTGGACAGTGTGTAATTGCCATTATAACTCCGTGAGCCACGCTGGCATGATGCGCTTAATACGGCGGCTGTACGAATAGAATTGCCATGTTTAGGAGGCCTTCACGCCTGACTGAGGAGTGAAGCGCGTCGACATTTTGGAGCTTTACGCATGTGGATATCCCATCGAATGAGAAAACTGACACGGCACGGGGTGCTTATAGGAAGCTTCCCCATCTTCCGGCTCACAGCCCAAATACCAGCCCTACAGACTCCGTAACCAGTAGCGGAGGCAGTTGATAATGCAGGGTCTTCGTGGCTTGTCGAGGGCAGAGATGGTGGCGACGTCGGAGAGGAGTAAGCACCTTAATGTGCAAGGGGATGGATGGGCTTAGCTGGAAACGTGGACCTGTTCGTGATAGGTTAAAGTCAACAATTGATCTGGTTGTGCCCCTGTGCCACATCAGTGGATTGTACTCCATAAGATAGACCACTTGAAGATTGCGCGCATGATTTGCTGGGACTGTAGATACCTGATGTGGTTCTGTTGCCTGATGTCTGTCATTAGTGCTTTTTTTCCAAAAACATATCACTCGATAGTCCCGAAACTGTGGTTATTAGAAAGCACCAAAAACGGCAACGAGCACTCCGCCCAAGAGGGGGCCCCGAGCGGTTGATCCAAAGGGGCCATAGAGCCAGAACGCTGGTCCTGGCTGGAACATGGAAGAGTGACACTCTTGCCGCTCCCAGCACTGTCAAACGCGGCCGAAATTTGACATCCTTTGGAATTTCTCGCCCTAAGAGGCCGTAACCAGATGATCGTGGCTGTTCGAAGCCATGACCCTGATACCATTGGTGGATTGCCGCGGTAAAAATAATGTTAATACGACAGACATTGCTGCTTCGCCTTCGAGGGATATCCTGGTGCCTAGAGCGCGGGCCGGTCCACAGAGGAGGAGAGAAACCTACTTCCGAGGTCTCCACCGGATCTTCAGACTGCAGACGTCAAGGTCGTGCAGCAATCACCAACAGACGACTCAACAGTAGTGGATTTTGTGTACCTCGAGCGCGACTGTCAGGGTCCCAGAAGGGTCACCAGCACCGGATGTATACGAGCCGTTGGTAGTACATTGACGAGTTGTTGGTCAACATGGCATGTCAAGCCGGTCCGAAGAGCCAGTGGTTCGGGTCTCAGCAGCTGCTTGGAAGGTCTCTGGCTTGAACTTGCAGCATAGCCGAAATCGTAATCTCCAGGTTTCCCCCCTCGATGGTCATACCGGCGGCAGAAATGTCGACTGACGGGAGGCCTAGAGATTGAAAGTATTCAGTGTACTGTAAACAAGAGTTTCAGGGCGGTTGGCTGTGAATAACGAAACACATAGCATTCTGAAAGGCCTTGGTGTGGGCGATTACTGATCACACAGGTTGATGGCAGGTTTGGATCTCAGACACAAGTGGTGCTGCAACAGCACCAGGTGATGAAATTGGCGACCGCACTGCCACTGCCCCAAGGTCTACCCGGTCAATGCCGGCGGGTTTGGCGGGTTTCTTGTTCAGTGTTCATTGTCTGTCTTGTCCCGGTACAACAGCTGGTAAATCACAGTCCGCATCGCCGTAACCGTTGCCGTTTGGTGTCGGGGTCGTGGTGAGGGGCTTGACGGGGTTCCCAGAACGCGAAGCTTTACAGGCAGCCGAATTTCCTTGGACCGGACTGGTGGGCTTCGCTCGCTGGCGGCCGCGTCGAGTTAAAGTTGGGTCGGGCGCGCGTTGTCACGTTCGGACTGTTCAAGTTGGCTTTGCGGTGTTACGGTGAAACTTTCAACGTAAAAAAGATTTCGGAACAAGGGGAAAGGTACACGTATGTTAGCCCATTACATTCTGGTACTTAAACCGTCCGGACGGCCCGCTATCTGGCCAATCATAGAGCTTTGTTTTGTCTAGTAATACATACCATTACATTGTTTATTTCTGGGCAAATTCTTAGAAAGCATGTGCCTGTAGTTGAACATCCCCTGTCGGACCCAGAACAGGGACAGCCGCTGCAGGCTCAGATCCTTTTGCCAGTAACGAATTCGACGACATCAACATTTCAACAGAACTGTCCCATCGCAACTTCTAGCGCTGCCTCGGAGTTCAAAGCGAACGGAGCCATAGCCTTGGAAATAACAAGGTAATTCTTCCAATAAAGCCCCAGTGACTTGTCCCAACGTGGGACATCGCCGGGATGGAGACCGGTCCGAACTCGGCACAATGGGGTCCGACGCGGGGGGGTCTCGGCCTTCGCTCTTCCGGTGTTGTCTTCACGTTCGACCGTTTCCAGTTTCCGGTGCCTTTAATCTTGGTGCACACAGCCACTTTCAACTGGGACATGAGGATAGGAAGATAGGCTGATAGTAGTTATAGGTACTGTCTGCCGCCCATGGTCTTACGAGGTCAAGCAAGCCAATTCAAAGTTGCGATTGGTCAATCACACTCAGCAGAAAGGCAGGCACTTTAAGTGTTTGTTCCTTCCGGAGAGCACTCCGCTGGCCCCCGGCATGGACTATCACGAGTGCCAAGTCGGGAACAACACAAGTACACAACAACCTAACAGCGACTCGCTAGTCGTTACATCGGGGCCGCGCCAGCATGGCCCAGCAGCAACAAAGGGAAATTTCAAAAATTCCAGAAACACCAAGAGAAAGCCCTCTGTAGGAGCTACAGTTGCACGGAAACCAACACTGTGCCGTATCTCTGCACAACGGCCAACAATTACCGCCGAATCCCAATTCGTCAAAGATATCTGGAGAACTGGGTAATTTGGGTGCTGGTGGGTGGAAAGACCAAAATCCACTCTGGGTCTACTGTGGTAGAGTCC